ATTGTTTCATCCGTGTATTGGTTGATATATTGAAAAGTAATTGTCATCTTTGATAATGGCTTCCATAAGCCGAAAGCTTAGATTGTATTTAAACATGCATCAATATGGTGTTTTTCTTTCGTCTTTCAATTCTAATATTGTTAAGCTTATCAGACAATATGAAAGGAATTTACTTAAAATAGACAAAACTTGTCTATATTATTTAATGAAACATGCATCAATATATACATACATACATATATATATATATATATATATATATATATATATATATATATATATATATAATATATATATAAGAAATACATTAGATTTATCATCTGTTACAAAAATTACATGACAGACTTTTCAATTTTTCGAAATAAAACACCACCTTGAATATGTACCCTTTATTTAAAAATAATGTTGTTTATATATTCTTATGCCCTTTGGGAGTAATCGGAAAAATCATATAAAAGTTGAATTTTGGTAAATTTGTCAACAAAACAGTGCAATTTATTGGCCAATTTAAAATATTTAATAAAAACATATTTCCCACACCCAGACACACACACACACACACACATATATATATATATATATATATATATATATATATTGTTGACATTAACGATAATGAAGATAATGAACGATAAATGAAGATAAGCAGAAGATGGTGCCTTTCGTTTTACAATTATGCATGCTAGTAGTGGGTATTGTGGAGGAAATCAGGTAAGGAAAAGACATTTATAGTTTCTTATCTCTCTCTCTCTCTCTATATATATATATATATATATATATATATATATATATATATATATATATATATATATATATATATATATATAGTAAAAAAAATTTCCAGAGCTGTGGATAAGACAAATTGGTATAAAATGATAATTGGAAAAAAATCTTATAGTTACATTAAAAAATCCAAATTTATAAAGATAGACGCTTCTGTCTAGGCCTTTAACGATAACAACAAAGACATTTCGATTTAATTTTTGGCTTGAAAAAAAGTCGGAAGACGAAACACGTCAGCAAAATCTAAGATTTCTTTTCCAATTGTCATTTTATACCATATATATATATATATATATATATATATATATATATATATATATAGCATATAATTAGCACGTAAAAATGCAATACATTATATTCACTTTCGTGCTAATACCCTTAAAAAGTATCAATCCTCTTCTTCTCTCTCCCTATCTGTGAGTAAATAACAGGACAGAATGGATCCTATAGCCTTGGGTGGTAACCGGTGTAGAAGGACAACTCTGAATTCAAAACCTGATCCTCACGATTGAGGTTTGTGCAGTAGGCTAACAACCTACTAACTTAAACACTAGCTTGTTATAGAAACCGCAACGATATCTTGCAGCCCTCTGTTTCTCAAGTAATTTAATATATATATATATATATATATATATATATATATATATATATATATATATATATATGCCTCCGGAAATTTTAATTCCGGTCGAGCACTCTTCAGAGAAAGCGCGAATGTGAAAACAATGACGACTACTGCTAACACTGCAAATCTCTTCTATGAATTGAGGCCTCTCGGCCATTAGCGTATTTATTCGAAGACGAGGAACGTAAAAATCCACCTTCAACTCTACCAGGCGCTAATGGCACAGGGTAAAGTCTCCGACTGATGCTAAATCAGTTGGGTTTCGATCCCGGCTTGAGGCAATCTGATGTCTAGCAAAACTGATGAGCTGTGATGCAGCTAAACAGTCTGTCTTTAGTGACAATATATATATATATATATATATATATATGTGTGTGTGTGTGTGTGTGTGTGTGTGTGATTCACAACTGCTTTTATTGTGTTTGGAAACTAATTAGCTTTGAACAATTTTTTTTAACGGTTTTTCTATTTTTAACTTTTTGAAGGATCTTACTTCTTAAGTTAATGATTCGAAAATCTCATGACGAGTAATAAAACAATAAAATGTTCGTAGAAATTCCCCTATCGCATCGTTAAATATTTGTGATTAACAACCTTATCAAAGTATTCCGATAAAAATCATCCTATAATAATTGTCCTTGCCCACCCCCTCATTAGTTTCTTAGTTGACGCGTTCGTTCCTTATTGTGAGGGGGAGGTGGTGTTTTGCAGATTATACCCATGTATTTTTATACTGATGAAAACACGCTTTTTTTTATACCAGTGCTGTAGACATTCGACCTATTGTTTCGTTTATCCAATCAAAATGCTGTCAATAATCAAGTCAGCTCATAATTGACGACAAGATGCACAATGATACAGACACAATGGGTCCTCGTGATTGTGTTGGTCCACAAATCGTCATAATCAAATTGTTTATTTGATGAGTTTATTATTTTTATTTTACATTATATATATTATGGTCACGTGGCAGCCTGGTTGGAACGTTCTCATTCCGAACATGAGACCCGGGTTCGAATGCTGGGATCGACCGTCCTGTCCGATAACATCAGGAATTCTACTTTTGGACAAATCGACCATGGTGAGATTCGAACTCGGGGCTCCTGATCAGATTGTGGACGTTCTAACCATTCGGCCCATTAAATAAGAATAATATCAATAAAATAAGTTAGCACCTCAAATTTATTATATTAAGAAACAGAATGTATTGTTCATGAATTCTCCTCAATTTCTATTCTTGACTCATGTGAAGTATCTTTGCCTGACTTTTCACTTAGAACTGTGTCCCTATTAAGAGATATGCATATAACCCCGTCCGTACCTTCTGCTATCATCTCTAAACTAGATCCGTTCAAGGCATAATGACTTGACGTTATCCTTGCAGTAGTCCTTAAGAAATGCAACCCCGAACGGACTCTTGTTCTCTCTAAACTTCACAATAAATGTATTGCTTTCCTAATGGTTAGAAACGTTTTTTATACCATTTACATTATTCAGACTATTGTCCTCATCTGTGTCGCCATATTTATTACAACGTTTCAGCTCTTCAGTATCTGTCTATATTTCTGAGATGAGGTATTATGTACACTATTTACATTATTCGGACTATTGTCCTCATCTTTGTCGCCATATTTATTACAACGTTTCGGCCCTTCAGTATCTGTCTATATTTCTGAGATGAGGTATTATGTACACTATTTACATTATTCGGACTATTGTCCTCATCTTTGTCACCATATTTATCACAACTTTTCGGCCCTTCAGTATCTGTTAATATTTCTGAGATGAGGTATTATGTAGACTATTTACATTATTCGGACTATTCTCCTCATCTTTGTTGCCGTATTTATTACAACGTTTCGGCCCTTCAGTATCTGTCTATATTTCTGAGATGAGGTATTATGTAAACTATCTGCATTATTCAGACTATTGTACTCATCTTTGTCGCCATATTTATTACAACGTTTCAGCCGTTGTACGCTCCGGACTTCTTCAGGTGGTTGGAATGTCGAACTGAACCCTTTATTTCGCTCACTGGGGTAGACTGTTCTAGTTCCACGTGCCATATTTTAATTGATGTCAGTTATCAGTTATCTCCAGTTAATTCCCCTCTCCAAGTTCTCCGCTACCTTAACCGGGTATTGAACTCACACACATTGGGTCCTGTCACTGGATCTAACCAACGCCTTTATCTATGTGTACATGGCACAGTGGATAAAGGCGTTAGTTTGATCCAGTGACAGGATCCAAACAGTGTGAGGTGGTACGTACGTATGAACATTCACCAAAATTCAAAATCTTTACGTTCACGCACAAGCACAAATGTTAATGACTTTGTCACTTGTAAATTTCTTGTTTAATACATATATTTGTTGACATATATATCGATCTTGTTTGTTTTCTTTTGATCTTCGGCTGGACAACTTGAGTCCGGCCATTTTCTTGTAGTTGGACTTTCTAGCAGGAATAAATAGCACGCGTTTCTAATTCAAAAACACGCAAACGCACACATCAAAAGAACATCGGACAGAATTTAAAATAAAGAAAGGATAGATTGATGAAAGGAAATAAAAGAACTGTAGGTTGCAAGCAGGCTTAGAAAAGATTAAAAACGCCGCGACATAAAAAAAAAAGTAAGAACAATGATTGATAGGAAGTTCTAAAAACGATTGGTAAATTTAAAATCTAGAAAAAAATGGCGAAGACGAAACGTAAGAATAATAGAGAAAGAAAAAGAAAGAAAAATATTAAGGGTGAGAGATAGGAAAGGAGAAAATAAAGAGAGAGAGAGATAATATTTATAGAAAAGAAAGTGAACGAAAACAAAATGGCAGGAGAAAAAAGTTTGTAAGCTAAATAAGAAAGGATATGAGAAATTACCAGAGAAAGACAAAATTTAAAGAGAGCAAAAGAAGAGAAAATAAAAAATAGAATTAACTTTGCATATTAGGTAAGTATGAGAAATAAAGTCAAAAGGACAAAGAAAATGAATGAGAGAGGCGAGAATTGCATAAAACCAACACGAAAACTGCTAAACGTTAATTGCTAAAATCATTTATTGGTTATCATAATACTCCGTTTGTTTTCGAGACCAATATCCGGTGTTGAGTTAAGCCTCTCTTGACATGATATTAATTGTGCTCTTGAGAACGTGAAAATAAAATCCTTATTGAACGGTCAGCATTAAAAAAAAAAAAAATCTTTCCCCAGTGCCATTTATATTTCAAAACCTTACTCTCCCCAATACTTTTCTCTTAGCCTTACTCACCATTTCTTCTAATCTTAACGATTCCTTAACAGCGGACTCCGTGTTTTCCGCATTCTCCTGCGCTTTTCATTCGGAGAATTTCGAGTTTTAATCATCAGCTCGGATATGAACATTGCCTTGGAAAGGAAGCGACAGATATTGAACTGCCGCTTGGGAGCGGAAGTGACGACATTAATGATCAAGATCACCTTCCGCGCGTCGATTTGGTTATTGGGCGCTTTAGATTCGAAATAAAAAGAAAGAAAAAAGAAAATTACTATATTTCTTTCTCATTTTTAGGAATTTGGTTTGCGTTCTTAACTGATTTCTTTATTTCCTATTCAGTATCCATCTCTCTCCTTCTCTTTCTCTCTCTCTCTCTCATTTCTTTTCTCTCTCTCCTTCTCTTTATCTCTCTCATTCCCTTTCTCTCTCTGCTTCTCTTTATCTCTCGCCCTCTCTTTCTCTCTCCCCTTCTCTTTCTATCTCTCTCCTTCTCTCTCTCTCTCACTCTCGTTCTCTCTCTCCTTCTCTCTGTCCCTCACTTTCTCTCTCTCCTTCTCTTTCTCTCCCCCTCTATTTCTATCTATCTCTCTTTCTCTCTCCTTCTTTTTCTCCCTTTCACTCTCTTTCTGTCACTTCTTTTCTCTCTCTTTCTCTTTATCTCTCTCCTTCTCTTTCTTCCTCTCCCTCTCTTTATCTCTCTCCCTCTCTTTTTCTCCCCCCCCTCTATTTCTCTTCTTTATTCTCTTTCTCTCTCCCCCATCTTTCTCTCTTTCCCCTCTCTCTCCTCCCTCTCTTTCTCTCTCCTTCTCTTTATTTTCTCCCTCTCTTTATCTCTCCTTCTCTTTCTGTCACTCCTTCTCTCTCCTTCTCCTTCTCTATTGTTTTTCTCTATCTCCTTCTTTTTTTCTCAATTCTCTCTCCTTCCCCTCCTTTCTTTCTCTCTCTTCCTTTCTCGATTCCTTCTCTTTCTCTCTCCCCTATCCCTCTCTCCCCTTTTTTTATCTCTCTCCTTCTCCCCCCCTCTCTTTATCTCTCTCTCTCTTTTCTTACTCCTCTTCTCTCCTTTTCTTTCTCTCCTTTCTCTATCTCCCTTTTCTCTTTTCTCTCCTCTCTCTCTCTCTCTCACTTTTCTCTCTCCCCTTCTCTCTTCTTCTCTTTCTCGATCTCCTTCTCTCTCTTCTTTCTCCTTCTCTTTCCTTCTCTCTTTTTTTCCTTCTATTTTCTCCCTTCTCTCCTTCTTTTTTTTCTGTCAATCCTTCTCTCTCTCCTTCTCCTTCTCTTTGTTTTTCTCCCCCCTTTTTTCCTTTCTCTCTCCTTCTTTCTCCCTCCTTTCCTTCTCTCCTTCTCTTTCTCTCTCCCCCTATCTTTCTCTCTCTCCCCCTCTCTTTTTATCTCTCCCTCTCTTTCTATCTCCTTCTCTTTATTTTCTCCCTCTCTTTATCTCTCTCCCTCTCTTTTTCTTACTCCTCCTCTCTCCTTTTCTTTCTCTAGTGACTTTCTCTATCTCCCTCTCTTTCTCTATCTCCCCCCTCTCTCTCTCTCGCTCTCACACACTCTTTCTCTCTCCCTCTTTTTCTCTCTTCTTCTCTTTCTCGATCTCCTTCTCTTTATCTCTCCCCTAACTTTCTCTCTCACCCCCTCTCTTTCTAGCTCTCCCTCTCTTTTTCTCTCTTTCTCTTTATTTTCTCCCTCTCTCTCTCTCTCTTTCTGTCACTCATTCTCTTTATCTCTCTCCTTCTCTTTGTCTCTCTCCTTCTCTCCCTTTCTTTAACTCTCTCCTTCTCTTTCTCTCGCACCTCCTCTCTCTATTTCTCTCTTCTTCTCTTTCTCTATTCTCTTTCTCTATCTCCCTATCTTTCTCCCTCTCCCTCCCTCTTTCTATTTCCTTCACTTTCTCTCTCTCTCCTTCTCCCCCCCCTCTCTCTCTCAATAGCTTTCTTTTTTCGTCATTAAACCTATTTTTATTCATCGTATTCTGTCGATTTCTTTCTCTTTTATCTTTCCAATTTTCTCACGTTTTATTGACGCCCCCACCTCAGGTCACTTAGTGCTGGTATGGCGTTTATCATTCATGTCTGTCTAGGAAAAAGTTAAAATAGGATCGGCATCATCCTTTGCAGCAGCAGCAGCAGCGACGGTGGCGGCAGCAGCAGCGGCGACGGCAGCAGCATCAGCAGCAGCAGCAGCAGCGGCGGCGGCAGCAGCAGCGGCGGCGGAGACAACAAAAACAAAGTGGGAATTTTGCCATCTATGTCATTTGTATCAAAATCAGTTTAACCCAATATGTCGCTACTTACATCGGCTATTTTATGTTTCAATATTTTCCAAACCACTCCCCTTTTATTCAAGACAACCCGTTTATTATATCTCCACCTAGGTGTCTGATTAGTACAACGTCTTTTCCTTTCTTTGTTGTCCCGAAAATGCTGATTACTTCAACGGTGAAATATAATCTCAACAAGATAATGTCCTTTGAATCGCTAAACAGAGCCTACACATGAAACTTTAAGTCGCGGTAAACCACACATACACACACGCGCGCGCGCACACACACACACACACACACACACACACACATATATATATATATATATATATATATGCACATTTCATTGAATACGACAGACAAGGCGCTTTTATTTAGTTTTTTACAATACTCATGCGATCTAATTTTTTTTTTTTGGATGATAAATTATATAAAAAAATACTCGAATATTCTTTTTATCCGAGCGCTTTCGGCTATACATTTAACCATTTTCAATGATTAAATATGTTAACTGTTAAATAAGAAATAGTTTGTTGCATGTATGTTTTATAAAATGTTTTCATTTTTCAAAACACGGTCAAGATATTGTGTAATTGAGTAAAATATATTTGAAGATTGTTAATTTACCTCTTTCCCCATCTGCTCTTAGTCTGAATTTAAACTTGGCCATTAGGAAACTCCTTTATATATATATATATATATATATATATTATATATATTATTTAATTAAATTGTTTAATGTTTTTTTAATAAACAGTATTTGTATCTATAAAAAGAATGTATAAAAATAAAAAAGTCTTAAAATAATTGTAAGACTTTGTCCATTTCTTAATGTGGGACATCATTTGTTTACATTTGGATACGCTTTGAGCAGATATGAAGGTACATAAGAGATTCATGGATGAAAATTGAAGTTTAAAAGCTGAAAATCAATCTCGCCAAAGGAATGATTCTCCGTGGCTCGATTGTTTAAAGCACGTCAGGCTATATGACGGTTCCATATATGATACACGTCCGATTCCTGTCGGAGGATGAATATTTCTATGAAAATTTCTCGGGCATTTAGACCGGTAAATGTTGTTTAATACCGTTTATTATAATACAGAACATTTGCTTAAATATTTCTATCTTTAAAAAGAATGTATAAACATAAAAATGTCTTAAAATAATTGTCGGACTTTGTCCATTTCATTTATATATATATATATATATATATATATATATATATATATATATATATATATATATAAAAAGCAATTCACCCAAGCAAGGCGGGAGTGCCATTAGCAGGCAAGAGGGTAGAGAACAAGAGTAAAGAGACGTGTTTGAGGAAAGGAAACAGAAGGACGGGGATCAAGGTATTAGATGTCGATTGACATTACACTTTTAATATATAGTTATCGGGGAAGCAAGCAAGAGGGAGTTCCACAGACAGGAAGTGCGAGAGAAACATTGTGTGTGTATGCATATATATATATATATATATGTGTCTGTGTGTGTGTGTGTATATATATATATATATATATATATATAACTGTTTGTGTATGAAAGGATAAAGAACAAACAAAAGAAGTCTAAAAACTTTATTAAATAATTTATAATCTTTATAAAATCATTAAAATGGATAAATGCGATTTATTTCTTTTGAATCAAATTTTGCAGCTTTTTATGTGTATTTAACTATTATGTATCTGTGTACAGTTAATTAAGTGAAAAGTATGTTTATTCATTAGTTGGAAATACAATAAATTAAAAAAATTGTATACGTACGAATATTTGCTTCCCTACACTATATATATATATATATATATATATATATATATATATATATATATGTATATTCAGGGCGCAATCCTTCGTTTATGCATGTTTGATTAAAAATGACAGACAAGGTACTACGGTTAAGATTTATTTAATTTTTTTGTGTTTGTAAAAGAGCTTTCTTTTCTGGATAAAGAGTGTGTAAAAACTGTCTAAATGTTTTTATAGTTCCGAGCGCTTTCGGTTATACATTTAGCCATTATCAAGGATGATGCAATTTTTCAGCTTAATTGAGTGTGTGCATTATGTGTATGTTTTAGTGTTTTGTAGAGTTGTTTTCAATTTCCGAATACAGTTAGCACATTGTGGCCTTGTTCGTAGTTAATATTTTTAATATATATATATATATATATATATATATATATATATATATATATATATATATATATTATAAATTGATTTAAAATATGTCTTTTTCCGCTACACAGTTCTAACCAGGTTTCAAAATGGAAGCTAAAAGCCCTGAATTTAATTTTGTAATTAAATTAAAGACATTAGTTCCATTTCATTCTCAAGCGAATTTTGGAGTAACTTTTAAAATTACTGGGTTTTAAAGACACAGCTAAAATCACGTTTCCATGGTTACAGATAAATCTACTTCAACTGGACAAGGGGTGTCTGGGTTTTCCTTATGTCTGTATCATTGCATATATATATATATATATATATATATATATATATATATATATATATATATATATACGTACATACTAGGGCGGCTAGCTAATCTCTATTGAAGCAGCTTTCTCAGACGAATTTTTATTTGTTCAGTACCCACATAGCCCACCTGTTGTTTCTTCGGCAACTACGCTGAGCGGACCTTAGTTACAGTTTGTGGGAGAGAAGCGTGTTATTTATCGTGCCCAACAATCCGAACAAGATCAGCAGGATCAAAACATGGGTCACGACAGTACGGCCTCAAGGATTCCAAATAGACAATTTCACTCACAATGCTTGGGTCAACCAGTGGTATAGTTTTCAGGCATTTTTCCAAAGGTACCGCATTCTCCGAACCAATAACATGAAGAATTCAACTTCCTGACAAACACATGCTCAGAAAGCGAACGTTGTAACCATTCGTCACTTTATTTAAACCCAGTAATTTTAAAAAGTTACTCCAGAATTCGTTTGAGGATGAAATGGAACTAATGTCTTTAATTTAATCACAAAATTAAAATCGGGGTTTTTAGCTTCCATTTTTGAAACATGGTTAGAACCGTGTAGCGAAAAAAGACATATATTAAATCAATTAATTTATAATATTAATGCTCTGTAAATTTACATTGAGCACTATTTTGTAAAAATAAAAATATCTATAAGAACACCGGATTATATATCTTGCTGTTCTTTCTTTATATATATATATATATATATATATATATATATGTATATATATATATATATATATATATATATGTATGTATGTGTGTGTGTGTGTGTGTGTGTGTGTGTGTGTGTGTGTGTGTGTGTGTGTGTGTGTGTGTGTGTGTGTGCAGGTATGTAGAAAAATAAGAAAGAACACGTTAGGTAAATAATCCAGGGTGTCCATAAAGTTTGTTTGCACTTTTAAAAATTTATAACTTTATTTGTATTTGTGATACAAATAATTTTAAAAAAGGATTAGAAAGAAGTAAATCAATATTTCTTGACGTTTTATTGAAATTTTATTTAAGTTTCCACATGTCCTCCATCATTAGAAATACAAAGGGTAATACGATTTTGCAGTTCACGGAAAACATTTGCCAACTGATTTACAGTAATGCCTGAAATTACATTAATAATTTTAGCTTTCAAATATTCTAATGAACTAAGTTTGGTTGCATGCACAATTGTTTTCACAAGTCCATTATAAAAAATTAATGTAGTCAAATCTGGCGAACGTGGAGGCCAAGAAAATGGTCGACACCTTTCCATCTATCTCTTAGGAAATTCCTGATTTTGTGGTAAAGAATTATTCAATAATTATACTTGAAACTAGTTACATAAAACTTTATAACATTTTTTACAGATTATTTATATCGCAAATAAAAATAAAGTTATAAATTTTTTAAAGTGCACGAACTTTATGGACAACCTGTATATATATATATATATATATATATATATATATATATATATATATATATATATATATTTCTCACTACCGTAGCGCTGAAGGCTTAGGGGCAAAAAACTCCGACTGATACAAAATTGGTCGTGTTTCCATCTTTAAAAACTTACGGTATAAATCGGTGTCTTTTTTATGAAATGACGTCTTTAATGCTTTATATATATATATATATATATATATATATATATATATATATATATATATATAAAACAACTTTTCAAAAACAAATAAACAAATGTATGATGTTGGTTGTAATAGAAAGAGAAGAGGGGATGTATAGAAGGAAGGATTAGAATAAGAAAAAGGAAGAAGAGAAAAAAAAAAAAACAGGTATTATAATAGCATATATATATATATATATATATATATATATATATATCCTCATATGTTCTTAAGAGGAATTTCTTAATATGTATGCAAAAACCCAAGACTTCGTTTTTTGGGTTTAAGAGGTTCTTTATATTTCCCGGCACCAAAGAGCCATAAGCTTGAAACCAAGGCAGCTGATTCAACTCAGACCATTAACCTTTTATGACTTTTATATATATATATATATATATATATATATATATATATATATATGGGAATGTGGCCGAGTAGATAGAACGTTCGCTTTCTGACTACACACACACACACACACACACACACATATATATATATATATATATATATATATAAGCGTTTTACCCCAAGCAAGCCACTTGTGCGCAAGGGGTTACAGAAAGTTGTAGCTCGAGCAAAGAGGAGTGATAGAGGAAAGGATGAAGAGAGGGATAGAAGATAGATCAAGGCATTAGAATAGTTGGAGATTATAGCTATCAGAGAAACAGGAAAAGCAGAGAGAGTTCCGCAATCGAGAAGTGCGAGATATGAAGCTATTGGAGCAGAAGAGACGGCTACATTTAACAGTTTCGACAGTGAAAAGGTGAGAGCTAAATGAACGCTTAAATTCATGGAGTCTGGGAACCAGCGAAAGCAGCTCACCGGAACAGTTACCGTGAAAGTATTTATATATTTAATATTTATATATATATATAACGTATATATATATATATATATATATATATATATATATATATATATATATATATATATATATATATAAAATGTGGTAGCGAATAATTCTCGGCCTGGCGCAGTTCTCAAAATCAGAATAAAAAGAAATTTATTTACTGTCAGTCTATTTTTTTTTTATATCTCTTCCTTGATACGTCGACTATTTTCCCATATTCCTCCTCCCATCTCTCTTTCATACACACACACACACGCGCATTTATATATAAATGTGTGATTACAAGCATATCTATCTATCTATCTATCTATCTATCTATCTATCTATGTGTTTATGTGCGCGCGTGTATGTATGTGCGTGAGTGTGTCTGTGTGCGCGTGTGTGTGTGTTAATGATGCAAATGTGATGGTGACGGTTCGTTGTCTTTCCAGTATGTATAAAAAGGCATTTACCTGCCTGTTTTCCGATCTGTCCAACCGCATTTTCCGATGCCTTCCTGCAGGGGTCAGCAATTTATTCTCCCCTTTTGGCAAAGCCACTACTAGTTCCGCCATTGAAACTTTCTGTTTTTTTTTTTTTGCTTTTTTTTTGTTTCTAATTTTTATATCTCCCGCCAGGGTTCATTCGTTTACCCCACTCGTCCCTCCCTTCCGCCTTCGTTATGTTGGATAATTTTGGGCAAGGCTCTCAAAATGGCTTCAGATGCTTAAAATAGGAGCAGTGGATTTTCAAATTTTAGAAAGACGCCATCCGGCCTCTCGACGTTCGTTCTACCTTCCGCCACAAGGAAAAAAGGCCGAAAAAAATCTAATTTCTTTTATAACAAGTATATACACATAAAAACTGAAACACATGCTCTTGCGCGCAGGCGCGGGCGCATGCGTGCGCTCATACCATCACATAAAAAAAAAAACACTAATGCGCACACGCAGTTATGAGATAAGACAGATAGTGAATAATAGAAAAAATTATGTACGGAATGGTCCGAAAATTTTCAGTTTTAGCACTCTGTGAGGTATTTATCAAGGAAAGAGTTTCACAAGAACGATACCAGACATCAGTTGAAGGACGCCGTTCGAAGAGCCTTTGCAGCAATCATCAAAGCAAAGCTTCGTAAAATATTACACAGGACATGGCACCGTATCATTTTGTGCCAGGAAAACGATGGTATTCATACAGACCTTCTCGATGTGTGACAGCGTCAATAAAATTAAATAAACTGAATCCAGTCTATGTGTTTTGCATTACTGTATTACTTGTTTTCATATTGTTCGCATTACTTTCTGGTAGCGGGTGACAAGAATTTTGGACCACTCTGTACACTAATTTAGACCAGTGTTTCTAAATCATTTAATAATGTACGACTTCCCGGAAAGTAAAAAAAGGATGGAATAGTTTATATTCAACAATTATATATATATATATATATATATATATATATATATATATATATATATATATATATATATATATTTTATAAAATTCATGAATCATTCATACAAAAACCAATATAGAGGTTAATGATTGAAATGGCGAGAATACATCTTCACAAACAATATAAATAAGATACACTAACCCCGAACCTGTATATGACTGATATGATCCCTGTTTATAAATTCCAGTTGCATAAGGTCTTTTTAATTTTTTACAAGCTTTCGTCTATTCCTACAGACATCCTCAGATATGGAAATAGATTTTTTTTCTTGTTTTTACTTCTCGGTAATAAGAGGACAACGAAAATAGAGATGTAATCCGAAAAAATGCTATGAGAAATGTGTTATTGTTTTGGAACGTACGGTCGCAACGCTGAGTTTGAATTTAAATTTTAAATATATATATTGAATGGTGGAGTGTAAATAATATTATAAAAAAAGTAATCATACAAAGAATTAATCAGTAAAGTTTATGCAATTAATAGCGAAATCACTTCGCTAACAGATTTAATAAAGCATTAACTTACTAACAACTCGTTGAATGACGAGATCCTTCTGTTTAAACTTGTAAGATGGATTAGATGTTCCATCAATGCTAGTACTTCTGAAAATTAACAAGTAACTTCTAAGATTAATATAAATGTATTGCAGAACGAAGTATTTTTCTTAAAAAGTTTGTTATTTACATTATTCAGACTATTGTCCCTCATCTTTGCCGCCATATTTATTTTAACGTTTCGGCAGTTGTACGATCCGGCCTTCTTCAGGTGGTTGGAATGTAGAACTTAACCCTTTATTTCGCTCACTGGGGTAGACTATTCTAGTTCCACGTGCCATGTTTTAATGGATGTCACTTATCAGTTATCTCCTGTTAATTCCCCTCTCCAAGTTCTCCACTGCCTTAATCGGGTATTGAACTTACATACTTTTGGTCCCTGTCACTGGATCTAACCAACCAATTCTTCAGTATCTGTTTATATTTCTGAGATGATTGGTTTGATACAGTGACAGGACCCAAAAAGAGTGTGAGTTCAATACCAGGTTAAAGCAGTGGAGAACTTTCAGAGGGAAATTATCTATCTATCTATCTATCTATCTATCTATCTATCTATCTATCTATCTATCGAGAGAGAGAGAGAGAGAGAGAGAGAGATCTATCTATCTATCTATATATATATATATATATATATATAGATAGATAGATAGATAGATGGATATTCAACCTTCATTAAATATGTCAGAGAAGGTGATTTGATTCATTTTTTATATAATTTCTCAGTAAATAATTAATACAAAAACTGCCCACATGTTTTATTTTTCCGAGCGCTTCCGGCTATACATTTAGCCATTTTCAAAGATGGAATATATTTACTGTTAACTAGAAATGGATTGTTGTATTATGTATTTAGTATTATACAATCTACTATTTTCAAAACACAGTCAACATATTGTGTGCATTTTCATAGTTGATATTATTGAGTGTTTATTTTTGTTTATATTAATAAGGCTTACTTTATTTTTAGCAGTTTTTACCTGTAGACGCTTCTATTATATTTGCATTGTCAATAAGTACGTTGCGAATAATGCCCGCTAGGTCTCCATGTCTGTTATATTTAATGAAGCTTGCATGGAAGCAGGACTGCTACCTCAACACGCACACACACAATATATATATATATATATATATATATATATATATATATATATATATATATATATATATTGAGACGTTTTTATGTTTAAATGCTCTGTTTATAATCAACAGTATTAAACAACATTTACCGGCCTGAAAGTCCGAGAAGTTTTCACAGAAAATATTCGTCCTCTGTTTTTTGCGAAAATTTCTCGGACATTCAGGCCGGTAAATGTTGTTTAATACTGTTTATTATAAACAGACCATTTACTTAAATATTTGTATCTATAAAAGAATGTTAAACATAAAATGTCTTTAAATAATTGTCGGACTATATATATATATATATATATATATATATATATATATATACATACAGGGTGTCCATGAAGTTCCTGTGCAATTTAAAAAATTATAACTTTATTTGTATTTGTGATAGAAATAATCTGTAAAAAATGTTATAAAGTTTAATGTACCTAGTTGTATGTATAGCTAAAATAACTAATGTGATTTCAGGCATTACTGTAAATCAGTTGGTAAATGTTTTCCGTGAACTGCAACGTCTTATTACCCTTTGTATTGCTAATGATGGAGGAAACTTAAATAAAAATTCAATAAACCATACAAAAATATAAATATACTTCTTTCTAATTCTTTTTACAAATTATTGCTATCGCAATTAAAAAGAAAGTTATAAAATTTTTAATATGCACACGAACTTTATGGACTCCCTTACATATCCGTGTGTGTATTAGGCAAGAAAGTTATCTTTTAGATATATCTGATTAAATAAACTTCAGATTCTCGAAGTAATCTACATCAAAAATTAAAGCCGACATTTAATAGAATCAGTGACATATACAGTAGAAATGTTCTGAATGCCTATAAAAGTGATTTTTTTTCAGTCTTTAAAGAGTGTATGACTATGACATAAAAACATAGCAGGAAGAATTCCATTGTGGGTATATTTTTTCACGTTCTAATGAATGCCAAACAAGACTGTCAACCGTCGTGTTTAAAAGGAAAAGGAAAAATACATAAATGGATTGCAACACAGTTTTGTATTACTGCTAACAACCCTGAAGATGATATCGGAAGAAGATCGAAAGTACTTTGAAAATGGGAAATAAATGCGATTTTTACAGTCATAGCGTATTTCTCACATCATATAATTGCAATACATGGAAAGTTATTCGTGAGTATGAACGGATTTTATTAAAAATATGCAGACATAATGTCTGTAATTTATTTAATCAGGCATATATATATATAGATTCTGCAACCTTTCATTTCAACATGTTACATTGAATATGGCAGACAAGAAAACTTTATTTAAGTTTTTATATTGCTTTTTCAAGCGTTCTTACATTTTCCCGTTTGGTGTCAGTAAGGAATGCAAAATTTGTCTGTTATCAGAGAGCAGAAACACTGGCATATTTGAATCAGATATAATAATGGTTCAATGTTAACCATTCGAAAATAGAATAGTCAAGGACCGAAACTTTCAAAGCAGGCCGATGATAGCCTCTGCTTTGATACTGAGGAAGGTGCAGGAAATCTTACGAATTTTTTTTCACGCTTTTCTTTATTTGATCATTTTGTACTACGATGTTTCGAATATTAGTGTTTTTAATTTAACAGTTTGTTTACTCCACTTTGGGATTTGGAAATTTAGAAGGATACGATCGCAAAACAATCCCCACTCAAAGGTTCTTCTTGATCTGAACAATCTAAATTCTCCAGCTTTCAGATTTAGTTCTTTTATCGCCCCGATTTTATAGCTCATACTTTCTCTTATGCATGCCTTGCACCATTACTTCCAAATGGATGGAGCAATGTTTTCAACTTTTCCTTCTCCTCTCTCGGTATTTCATTTTGGTATGGTTTGTTCTAGTGCACCCCCAACCAGTGGTCAATCTCCCACAACATTCGGGTTATCATGCAGACCTTACAGGTACGTTTCTCATTTCAATTTCCTATTCGGGTGACAGATTAATTTTTGTCTTCACGAGTTCTTTATATTACCACAATTATATTTAAGTTGACCCCTGACCTGCCAATCGCAACTTTCTCTTTTGTTGGCAGCAGGAAAACAAATATCATTTCCAAGTTTATTTTTTTAATTCCCACGGTTAGTGAATAACCCGGAATATGTCGTAACGATTTCAGCTCATATTTTTACATTAACGCCTTTCACTGCACCAGGGTCACAAAATGGCTGTGGCAATATAGATAGAAAAGTTTGTAAATCACACACTGAAAACCTGCCTTTTTGATTTTCTGAAAGTAAAAAAAAAAAGTGAAAAACGAGTCGCCATACGCCACCCTGTATTTAAATATATAGACACAGCCGTCAGATGAGATACATTTTATAAGCGCACAGCTGTTTCTAAGTAAGTGTTCGCTTTCTGTTCGATGTGTTTGATGATTCAGTTCAATCGTTGATGGGCATTCCTTTGTCCTGTGGGAAATTCGGGATTATCCTTCTTAATGGATACTATGAGAAGCCATCATCACTTTTCACGACTGCATGACTGCACGTCTAAAAGCTGTCGATTGGCCGTTAGGTGGCGTGCTAAGTTCATCCATCAAATTCGCGATAAACTTTCTCAGCGATACTGACAGACTTGCTTAAGGCCACCACTTACTTTAGTTAACTGCCTGACATTAAATCTAAACCTTTAACATGTAACAGCCTTCTCATTGTAGCTTACTCGCCCGCGATTCGTGTCTAACTATCGCTGCAGCTTTAATTCGAAATTATTGACTATTACTTAAACGTTAATCTGTATAAAAGAAAGATGGGGAAGATGGCTGATGCATTAACTGTATGTCTGTATGCTTTGAACGCATGCGCAATAGTGCAGAGATGTAAGGAGCGGGAATTTAAGAGGCATGATGTCAACAGTAAGAATATTACATATAAGAATGGTGAATGAAAGCGAAATGACGGAGGAGGAGAAAGAACTATAAAGGAAACACTGGGTGGTGGGCGGTTGTAAATGCGTGGTAAAATGGCGTCCACAACATTCCCTTGGACTGTCGAACGAATTAATGTAATTCTCCAATATTGTAAATAGTCGCTCAATCAGCAATGGCGAAAAGGTGTCAAGGAGTCAAACGACTGTACTTCATCTTGAAGTGTGGCAATTTCGTCCCAACCGTAATATGGATGAAGAAATAATTCAAGCCGTTGAATTGCATGATTTACGAGTAGCGGGGAATGAAAAGATAGGGAACAAAAAAAAAAAAAAAAAAGAACAGAAAGGGATTTAAAAGCGACTGTATAGATGTAAAGAGAAAAACATAACACATTTAGAAACTTTATAAAATAACAACAACAACAACAACAACAATAATAATAATAATAATAATAATTCTACTCACAAGAACCGGTCACACATTACGAAGAGCTTTATCTATGTAAAATGTGTGTGATCTTAGATATGTGTGATCTTACAAAAATTTTCAGTGGAAAATGTCATGAGGCCATTTCTGACTTTAGGTCTCCGGTTGGGACCCGGAAGAAAATGTGTATACAGCAGAAATCAAAGGAAATAATAATAATAATAATAATAATAATAATTGTAAAGAAAACTCGTTGTCTGGTTCGGCTTAATTTGCCTTTATTGAACGGAATTGAAGAGTCTTGCCGTGACTTATTTTAAAAAATCATAAGAAAGGGGAGGTAATCGGGTTTTCTTACTACAATAATAAAAACGTGCCAAGTGAGGAGGACATTACCACTTCCAGTTGTAGTTGGTGACGCTCGGATTGATTGTAAAAGTTTCCGATAGACCCACTGAAGGGATTTCTTAAAGAAATATAACAAATTTTACTCACAAGAACAGCACATGCACTTCGAAAGTCTTTATCTACGTCAAATGTGTATGATCTTAATGTTTCTTGGGGTCGAAAATGAGCAATGGAAAACATCATGATGCCATTTCTGAAATTAGGTATCTGGTTGGGGCCCGAAAAGAAATGAATATATACCAGAAATCAAAGGAAATAATAATAATAATAATAATAATAATAATAATAATAATAATGTCTCTCCACCACATATAAATTGATCACGTCTATCCTGACGAACCGAACTTACTATTTCTTCGAAGCAAACAATATTCTTCCACTGGAACAGAAGGGATGCAGGAGAGGTCCATATGGCTTCAAAGATCAACTACTGATAAACAAAATGATCCTGGAACCTTGTAGGAGACTATGTAAAAAACTTAGCGCAGCGTGGATTGATTATCGTAAAGCCTTTGATTGTGTGACGCACACTTGGATCCTTAAGATTCTGAAATGTACAAAGTTTCCCCTGTGGTAGTAAATTTCCTTAAGCACAGCATGGGAATGTGGAACACCACACTATACATAAATCCCACCAGATGCACTGCCATCTCCAACCGTCTGAATATCCGAAGCGGAACCTTTCAAGGTGACTCCCTGTCACCTCTTCTGTTTTGTTTGTTCTTAATCCCACTTATGCATTGATTGTGATTAGAATTATCACGCTGGTACACCCGAAATAGCGGCTAAACAATCTGGAGAGAAA